CAAACATACAAACACACATTCATTTTTATATATGTATATAGATAATTCCCAATAATACATTTTATAAGGATCGGCTCAATTTCTGGCCTAGCCCCCATACATCCGGACCTTCCGATTACATCCTTTTATCTTTTAACTACTATCTATCCAAAAGTCGGCACAATGTGGTGATATTTGTAACACTCAAAAATATTTGTCATTATTAAGCTATGTCCGTCTTTGTGACCGTGTAAACCTTGTGTGCACGCAACAGATCACAATTTTGTATATAATTTTTTAAAATGGGACACATACTATTCTCTGGATCCAATGACGAAGGCTGTTGAAAATGATTGAAATCGGTCTTTTATTTCTCCTAGTCAGCATACAACCGTACATGAGCAGACATTATTTGGAACCTATATAAGATTAACAGAAATGCTTAATTATTGAAATTAATCACATTTAATATTCGCAATTGGTGTAGGGTAGGGTATCATATGGCCACGCCCGACTATAATTTCTTACTTGTTTTGATTTGCTATTACAACCCCCAGTTTTTTGAATCTATAATTTTTTTTTTATATTTCTGATGAAGTAGAATAATTCGAAAACTTTTTTCTAATAAAATTCTTCAAAAAGTATATATAGGATGGTCATACACCTTGACTTTTTATTAATTTATTTTTAAATGTATGTACTTGTTGAATGAGACAATTAAAACCAATATTTTCGCTTACAAATTTAGCAAAAAATATATAAATTTAAACAGATTACCCATTTATTTTATTGTTTATTTATGTTTTTCTTAACTCCCATTAATTTCTGTGGTCAATTGCCTGTGGTAATTTGTATGGTTACTTTTGCTCTCACTCCCTATATCCATCTCCGTCTGACTTTGTGGGTAATACAACATTCTAGTCCTTTATCTTAAACTCAACAGCCTTTTCAACAAAGTAATGTATTTTTTTCTAAAAAAAAGAACATCTCACACACATAAATCTTTAAGTGAAAGGACAAAGAAAAAAACTCAACAAAGTCAAATTATATTAAAGTTATAAAATATTTAGTGTAAAAGTCCATAATGGTCAGAATCCATACTCCTGGATAAAGTGAAGTCATTTAAATATTTATAGAAATTTACATTTCGTAAATTGTTAAAATTTAAATTATAAACCAATAAGGGATCGATTCCGGATCTCTCCAACTATTTAGGATTTCTCAGTCTTTGAATAGAACAGCTATCCTCGAACGATTCCAGCTATTAGTTTTAGTCTTATTTCGAAATCTTATGTACCAATGGCCTGAATATGAGTGTTCTCCTCTACATGCTCCTGATGCTCCATTACCTAAGTTTAACGTTGTTTAACTATCTGGCCACCCTTAACTAGACTACGCAACAATTCATTAACATATCCAAGGTCTAACGATTTTCGCACTGATTTAATTCTGCGTAGTCATAAGTGAAAATTGTGGTAGTCTCAGCCTGTTGTACACCAGAAATTCTTTCAGATTTTTTACACCAACAAATCTTTGAGAAAAAATAAATGTATTTAGTTAATTTAGTTTTTATTATTGTGAGGGGTGAGACGAACATCATATAATTTATGTGGTCAATTTGTTTAAATACTTAGAACCAGAAAAAGAGATTTATTACGAAATTGATACGAATTTTAGCAAAGAAATTTAAAGGATAACACATATAAAGCAGACATTCGATTTTGAGGAGTCAATTGAAGTTGTGTTACATATTCGCTATATTGTTTATTATTAAATAGATGGTCTACTACTAAGGTACTACATATCCGACCACTTTATTAGGTATGGACCCCGATATCTGCAAAGGTCTGCTAGTTCTAGTTTCAATGCTTAATCCAGATCCATTAAGTTCTACTGAGCTGTAGACTAACTAACTAACTAACTAACTACTACTAACTAACTAACTAACTAACTAACTAACTAACTACTAACTAACTAACTAACTAACTAACTAACTAACTAACTAACTAACTAACTAACTAACTAACTAACTAACTAACTAACTAACTACTAACTAACTAACTAACTAACTAACTAACTAACTAACTAACTAACTAACTAACTAACTAACTAACTAACTACTAACTAACTAACTAACTAACTAACTACTAACTAACTAACTAACTAACTAACTAACTAACTAACTAACTAACTAACTAACTAACTAACTAACTAACTAACTAACTAACTAACTAACTACTAACTAACTAACTAACTAACTAACTAACTAACTAACTAACTAACTAACTAACTAACTAACTAACTAACTAACTAACTAACTAACTAACTAACTAACTACTAACTAACTACTAACTAACTAACTAACTAACTAACTAACTAACTAACTAACTAACTAACTAACTAACTACTAACTAACTAACTAACTAACTAACTAACTAACTAACTAACTAACTAACTAACTAACTAACTAACTAACTAACTAACTAACTAACTAACTAACTAACTAACTAACTAACTAACTAACTAACTAACTAACTAACTAACTACTAACTAACTAACTAACTAACTAACTAACTAACTAACTAACTAACTAACTAACTAACTAACTAACTAACTAACTAACTAACTAACTAACTAACTAACTAACTAACTAACTAACTAACTAACTAACTAACTAACTAACTAACTAACTAACTAACTAACTAACTACTAACTAACTAACTAACTAACTAACTACTAACTAACTAACTAACTAACTAACTAACTAACTAACTAACTAACTAACTAACTAACTAACTAACTAACTAACTAACTAACTAACTAACTAACTAACTAACTAACTACTAACTAACTAACTAACTAACTAACTAACTAACTAACTAACTAACTAACTAACTAACTAACTAACTAACTAACTAACTAACTAACTAACTACTAACTAACTAACTAACTAACTAACTAACTAACTAACTAACTAACTAACTAACTAACTAACTAACTAACTAACTAACTAACTAACTAACTAACTAACTAACTAACTAACTAACTAACTAACTAACTAACTAACTAACTAACTAACTAACTAACTAACTACTAACTAACTAACTAACTAACTAACTAACTAACTAACTAACTAACTAACTAACTAACTAACTAACTAACTAACTAACTAACTAACTAACTAACTACTAACTAACTAACTAACTAACTAACTAACTAACTAACTAACTAACTAACTAACTAACTAACTAACTAACTAACTAACTAACTAACTAACTAACTAACTAACTAACTAACTAACTAACTAACTAACTAACTAACTAACTAACTAACTAACTAACTAACTAACTAACTAACTAACTAACTAACTAACTAACTAACTAACTAACTAACTAACTAACTAACTAACTAACTAACTAACTAACTAACTAACTAACTAACTAACTACTAACTAACTAACTACTAACTAACTAACTAACTAACTAACTAACTACTAACTAACTAACTAACTAACTAACTAACTAACTAACTACTAACTAACTAACTAACTAACTAACTAACTAACTACTAACTAACTAACTAACTAACTAACTAACTAACTAACTAACTAACTAACTACTAACTAACTAACTAACTAACTAACTAACTAACTAACTACTAACTAACTAAACTAACTAACTAACTAACTAACTAACTAACTAACTAACTAACTACTAACTAACTAACTACTAACTAACTAACTAACTAACTAACTAACTAACTAACTAACTAACTAACTAACTAACTAACTAACTAACTAACTAACTAACTAACTAACTAACTAACTAACTAACTAACTAACTAACTAACTAACTAACTAACTAACTAACTAACTAACTAACTAACTAACTAACTAACTAACTAACTAACTAACTAACTAACTAACTACTAACTAACTAACTAACTAACTAACTACTAACTACTAACTAACTAACTAACTAACTAACTACTAACTAACTAACTAACTAACTAACTAACTAACTAACTAACTAACTAACTAACTAACTAACTAACTAACTAACTAACTAACTACTAACTAACTAACTAACTAACTAACTAACTAACTAACTAACTAACTAACTAACTAACTAACTAACTACTAACTAACTAACTAACTAACTAACTAACTAACTAACTAACTAACTAACTAACTAACTAACTAACTAACTAACTAACTAACTAACTAACTAACTAACTAACTAACTAACTAACTAACTAACTAACTAACTAACAAAAAAATTGCGCCATCTATGCTGTTGCAACAAGAACTTTCTTTCACAGTTTTTTTATACACATTTTTTTTATTGAAATAGCAGTGCCTTTACTAATTATTCAAAATCAGCACTAATTATTTATCGATAACTTTTCCCATGGTTTTTCTTCCTAGCAAATAACAACACCACATCATAAATACACAAAGCTATTCACATTTAGCTTACATATATATTAAGTCAAGACAAAAACCCTTTAGCTGAATCATCATAGTTGCCAGATAATTTGAAAGAAAATTATCAATTTTTTAAAGATATTTCTTCAAATTTATTTGGAAATTCGTCAAAAGGTAAAAGAAAAAAATGTTAAGTCTCTCATAAATAAGACTGCAGTCACTAAATTTTTCTTTTTTCTGTGAAATAGACTTCAAAATTGTGCCAAAATTATTAACAAATCCATTTTCCGGGAACATGTAAATTTGTATGGGAGCTATATGATATTAAAAAACAGCAATAAAGTGCTGCCAACATTGTATACACTATTATACTTTTATACAAAACATTTGGCATCACCGTGAAGTATGTAAAAAAATCTACCATATTTCGCCTACATTTTAAAAATGAAAATTAATTAACAGATTTCATATTGGCAATTGTTTAAACATGATAACCACGGTCTTTAAAAACCTTAGAATATCATTATTTAACATAATAATCAAAACTAAAAAGTTTTGAACTGAATAAATCATCGGCGTTATGACTAGTTAACAAATGGTACTCTGCGGATAACTAACGCCGTTTTTAACAGAGTCGGCTTGTTTTACTGACGCTGACCAATCAGAAGACGATACGTCTAGAAGAGAGCTGATAATTTAAGAGAAACTAAACAAAATTGACAGTCTTTGAAGTAATAAAGTAAGATAAACAACTGGGAATTGCAAAAAATATATAAAGTAAGTGAATTTTAAATAAAATTTAGGAAATAATAAATAAAAAACAGTTTGCGGAAATAAGCATACAATATTAAAACCTTTATTAAACAAATATTAACAAAATATAACGTGTGCTTTTATCAACAGAAGACAAACAAAACAGAAAAAATTGTCAACGTCACCGGCTTATTGCAGTTAATGTTCTTTTCTTCCATTTGTTCTGGAAACTTTGTTTAACAATAAAAGAGAAAATGTTGCTAAAAGGTAATAAATCATCAATTAATATAAAGCTAATGATTTTCTAATATTAAATATTTCTTCTACTTTCCAGCGAGTTTGTGTATTTTCCTCTCAGTATTGCTGCCCACGGCGTGGGCTTTTTATTCTCCCAGTGATGGTGTTATCGAATTGACACCCTCCAACTTTGATAGATTAGTGGTGCAAGATGATGCCATCTGGGTGGTGGAGTTTTATGCTCCCTGGTGTGGTCACTGTCAAAGTTTAGTGCCTGAATACAAAAAACTTGCTAAAGCTGTGAAAGGTGTCGTTAAAGTAGGTTCCGTCAATGCCGATGAACACCAGTCGTTGGGTGGTCAATATGGTGTAAGAGGTTTCCCCACCATTAAAATCTTTGGCGCCAACAAACGTTCGCCCTCTGACTACAATGGCCAACGCACAGCTAAAGCTATTGCGGAGGCGGCTTTAGCTGAAGCTAAGAAAAAAGTTCAAGCTGCTTTTGGCGGTGGTAGCAGCGGCGGCAGCAGCAGCGGTGGTTCTTCAAGCGGTGATGATGTCATTGAGTTAACAGATGATAACTTCGATAAGTTGGTATTGCAATCTGAAGATGATTGGTTGGTGGAATTCTTTGCTCCCTGGTGTGGTCACTGCAAGAACTTGGCTCCCGAATGGGCTAAGGCCGCTAGTCAACTTAAGGGCAAAGTTAAATTGGGTGCTCTTGATGCTACTGTCCATCAAAGCAAGGCTGCGGAATACGGTGTTAGAGGCTATCCCACGATTAAATATTTCCCTGCTGGTAAGAAACGCTCCTCAGATGCTCAGGAATATGATGGTGGTCGCACATCTTCTGATATTGTTACCTGGGCCTTGGATAAACACGCTGCCAATGTGGCTCCCCCAGAGTTGGTAGAAATCATAGATGAAACCTCTTTCGATAAGGCTTGTGAAGGTAAACCTTTGTGCATTATCTCTGTGCTACCTCATATTCTTGACTGTGATGCCAAGTGCCGTAATAAGTTCTTGGACACCCTACGCACCTTGGGTGACAAATTCAAACAGAAACAATGGGGTTGGGGCTGGTCCGAAGCCACCGCTCAATTGGAATTGGAAGAATCTTTGGAAATTGGTGGTTTCGGTTATCCCGCCATGGCTGTGGTCAATTTCAAGAAAATGAAATTCTCCGTACTTAAGGGTTCTTTCTCACAAGATGGCATCAATGAATTTTTACGTGATATTTCCTTTGGCCGTGGTCAAACTGCACCTGTTAAGGGAGCCAAGAAACCAAAGATCAATACAGTTCCCGCCTGGGATGGTAAAGATGGTCAATTGCCCGTCGAAGAAGATATTGATCTTTCGGACATTGATTTGGATGATGAAGTCAAGGATGAATTGTAAACCAAATTTAATTTTAAATATAACAAAACTTCCTTTTCACCTACCACATACTTACATTTGTAATTTATCATATAAGACTGTATCATTGAATTAATCATATTGATCTATTATACTTGGAACAACTTAAACAAATGCATTTGAAAAACTACATTCGTTTGTTTTTCATTTAAGTTTTTAATTAATTATCCTGTGCTGTAACAATTTCCCCAAACTCTCTTTTCTACTTTGTATACTTTATAAGAGTTTATCTAATTATTTAAAAAATATATTTTTATTTTTAAAAGAATTTTAAGTTAAAAAAGAAATAAATATAATTTAGAAAAATAAATTATCGAGAAGATTTTTTTATCAGTAAAAAGAAGAAAAGTGAAACTAATTTTTTAAAATTCGTTTTTAAAATCTTATCTGCTTTGTTGGGAAGACAGCAAATGATTTTTGAATTCCAGTGATAAACGCCCCTTTTTTAATTTTGTTTTCTTTTTTTAATTAAAAATAGAAAAAACATTTGTTTATCAGTAAACGATGCTATTCCTAGAACAATTAAGCATAGGTTCAATAAACTCAAAAGAAAATTATTAAGAACAACATCAAGTAATTATTGCAAAAGATAGCTGCTGTTGTTTTAATAATTGAACAATTGTTGTTATTTTCCAATATTTCCAATTAAAAAATACATGAAATAATTAATGCCATGATTTTGGTGTTATAAACGATATTGAGTATGTACAGTTCTTTTCTGGAATGATTATTAAAGTGATGAAATAACTCTGTAATGCCAGACTATAGTCAAATCTTGTCTATAGTGCAAACTATAGTCTAGTTTATAGTCAAACTATGGCTTTGTCTATAGTCCAGACTATAGTCTAGTCTATAGTCCAGACTATAGTCTAGTCTATTTTCCAGACTATAGTCTAGTCTATAATCTAGTCTATAGTCCAGACTATAGTCTAGTCTATAGTCCAGACAATAGTCTAGTCTATATTCCAGACTATAGTCTAGTCTATATACCAGACTATAGTCTAGTTTATATTCCAGACTATAGTCTAATCTATAGTCCAGACTATAGTCTAGTCTATAGTCCAGACTATAGTCTAGTTTAAAGTCCAGACTATAGTCTAGTTTATAGTCCAGACTATAGTCTTGTCTATAGTCCAGACTATTGTCTTGTCTATAGTCCAGACTATAGTCTTGTCTATAGTCCAGACTATAGTCTTGTCTATAGTCCAGACTATAGTCTTGTCTATAGTCCAGACTATAGTCTTGTCTATAGTCCAGACTATAGTCTTGTCTATAGTCCAGACTATAGTCTTGTCTATAGTCCAGACTATAGTCTTGTCTATAGTCCAGACTATAGTCTTGTCTATAGTCCAGACTATGGTCTTGTCTATAGTCCAGACTATAGTATTGTCTATAGTCCAGACTATAGTCTTGTCTATAGTCCAGACTATAGTCTTGTCTATAGTTCAGACTATAGTCTTGTCTATAGTCCAGACTATAGTCTTGTCTATAGTCCAGACTATAGTCTTGTCTATAGTCCAGACTATAGTCTTGTCTATAGTCCAGACTATAGTCTTGTCTATAGTCCAGACTATAGTCTAGTCTATAGTCCAGACTATAGTCTAGTCTATAGTCCAGACTATAGTCTAGTCTAGTCTATAGTCCAGACTATAGTCTAGTCTATATTCCAGACTAGTCTAGTCTATATTCCAGACTATAGTCTAGTCTATAGTCCAGACTATAGTCTAGTTTATAGTCGAGACTATAGTCTAGTTTATAGTCCAGACTATAGTCTTGCCTATAGTCCAGACTATATTCTTGTCTATAGTCCAGACTATAGTCTTGTCTCTAGTCTTGTCTATAGTCCAGACTATAGTCTTGTCTATAGTCCAGACTATAGTCTTGTCTATAGTCCAGACTATAGTCTTGTCTATAGTCCAGACTATAGTCTTGTTTATAGTCCAGACTATAGTCTAATCTGTAGTCCAGACTACAATCTATTTTGTAGTCCAGACTATAGTCTAGTCTATAATCCAGACTATAGTCCAGACTATAATCCAGACTATAGTCCAGACTATAGTCCGGACTATAATCCAGACTATAGTCCAGACTACAGTCCAGACTACAGTCCAGACTATAGTCCAGTCTATAGTCCAGTTTATAGTCCAGACTATGGTCTAGTCTATAGTCTAGTATGTAGTCCAGACTATAGTCTATTTTGTAGTCCAGACTATAGTCTAGTCTATAATCCAGACTATAGTCCAGACTACAGTCCAGACTATAGTCCAGACTATAGTCCAGCCTATAGTCCAGACTATAGTCCAGCCTATAGTCCAGACTATAGTCCAGACTATACTCCAGTCTATAGTCCAGACTACAGTCCAGTCTATAGCCTAGTTTATTGTCCAGACTATGGTCCAGACTATGGTCCAGTCTACAGTCTAGTCTGTAGTCTGGACTATAGTCTAGTCTTGACTAAGGTTCCGCCTATAGGCTAGTTGATAGTCCAAACTATGTACAAATATTCATAGCTATTGCACGAGTTTAGTCTAGCTTAATGTCTTACCTAAACCGTTCTCTCAGTGACCATCTTTCCGCGCGAACTAATTTAGAATTATGCACTGTAGCTAACAATCATCACAAATATAATGGCTAAATTGCTATTGAAATGGTATAGTCTACACTATAGTCCTGATGATAGTCTTGACTAGTCTTATAAATATCTACTGGAACAAATAATAAATAATATTGAATTTAAACACATCTTTTCTCATATTTGTTTTTATTTTTTTTTTTTACCAAAAAAATAGGTATAAAAAGTAGTTTATTTAAATCTCATGTATAAAAAATCGGATAGATAAAAATTCTATAAAAATACAATTTCTTGTTTTTTGTATATAAAATGCATACAATATATAATAATATAAAAGGCTAGCTTATTAATTAAATATAAACTTAATCACTAAGATAAGAAATTTACTTATAAATTTGTTCACAATATTTGTAAATTCTTTCCAAGAAATGCAATTAATTAATTCGTTCGTATTTTTATATGTGTATATAAAATGCTTATGTTAAAAAAATAGTATATTTTGAGCTTAAATTACTTTTAAGTACATCTACAATAGATTTTGTAATACAACCTACTTTAGTTCTAGAAAAAAAGATAGATTGAAGAAAATATATATTCGAGTCAATGGAGATTTTGAATTGTAGTTTGTAAAACAAAAAGAAAAAATAGTTTAATAATTTTAATAAGAAATTGTTCAAACTTCCATAAGGAAATAATTAGCAGCTCGTTATTTAGCATAAAAACTTACTGTGATTTAATCTTTATTTCAATTATTTTGCGTAGATTTCTTGCAAGACCTTTATTGAAATCTTACCCTAGTCTGTAGTTCTATAGTTTTGGCTACAGTCTAACCTATAGTCACATCTATAGTTTAGATTTTATATATATAGCGTAGTCTTTAGTCTAGATTTTAGTCTATTCTTATCTGTAATCTAGTCTATATTTATCTCTATAGTCTAATCTATAGCCAAGTCTATAGTCTAGTTTATAGTCTAGACAATAGACTATATATAGTCTAGTCTATAGTCTAGTCTATAGTCTAGTCTATAGTCTAGTCTATAGTCTAGTCTATAGTCTAGTCTATAGTCTAGTCTATAGTCTAGTCTATAGTCTAGTCTATAGTCTAGTCTATAGTCTAGTCTATAGTCTAGTCTATAGTCTAGTCTATAGTCTAGTCTATAGTCTAGTCTATAGTCTAGTCTATAGTCTAGTCTATAGTCTAGTCTATTGTCTAGTCTATAGTCTAGTCTATAGTCTAGTCTATAGTCTAGTCTATAGTCTAGTCTATAGTCTAGTCTATAGTCTAGTCTATAGTCTAGTCTATAGTCTAGTCTATAGTCTAGTCTATAGTCTAGTCTATAGTCTAGTCTATAGTCTAGTCTATAGTCTAGTCTATAGTCTAGTCTATAGTCTAGTCTATAGTCTAGTCTATAGTCTAGTCTATAGTCTAGTCTATAGTCTAGTCTATAGTCTAGTCTATAGTCTAGTCTATAGTCTAGTCTATTCTAGTCTATAGTCTAGTCTATAGTCTAGTCTATAGTCTAGTCTATAGTCTAGTCTATAGTCTAGTCTATAGTCTAGTCTATAGTCTAGTCTATAGTCTAGTCTATAGTCTAGTCTATAGTCTAGTCTATAGTCTAGTCTATAGTCTAGTCTATAGTCTAGTCTATAGTCTAGTCTATAGTCTAGTCTATAGTCTAGTCTATAGTCTAGTCTATAGTCTAGTCTATAGTCTAGTCTATAGTCTAGTCTATAGTCTAGTCTATAGTCTAGTCTATTGTCTAGTCTATAGTCTAGTCTATAGTCTAGTCTATAGTCCAGTCTATAGTCTAGTCTATAGTCTAGTCTATAGTCTAGTCTATAGTCTAGTCTATAGTCTAGTCTATAGTCTAGTCTATAGTCTAGTCTATAGTCTAGTCTATAGTCTAGTCTATAGTCTAGTCTATAGTCTAGTCTATAGTCTAGTCTATAGTCTAGTCTATAGTCTAGTCTATAGTCTAGTCTAGTCTAGTCTAGTCTATAGTCTAGTCTATAGTCTAGTCTAGTCTAGTCTATAGTCTATATAGTCTAGTCTATAGTCTAGTCTATAGTCTAGTCTATAGTCTAGTCTATAGTCTAGTATAGTCTAGTCTATAGTCTAGTCTATAGTCTAGTCTATAGTCTAGTCTATAGTCTAGTCTATAGTCTAGTCTATAGTCTAGTCTATAGTCTAGTCTATAGTCTAGTCTATAGTCTAGTCTATAGTCTAGTCTATAGTCTAGTCTATAGTCTAGTCTATAGTCTAGTCTATAGTCTAGTCTATAGTCTAGTCTATAGTCTAGTCTATAGTCTAGTCTATAGTCTAGTCTATAGTCTAGTCTATAGTCTAGTCTATAGTCTAGTCTATAGTCTAGTCTATAGTCTAGTCTATAGTCTAGTCTATAGTCTAGTCTATAGTCTAGTCTATAGTCTAGTCTATAGTCTAGTCTATAGTCTAGTCTATAGTCTAGTCTATAGTCTAGTCTATAGTCTAGTCTATAGTCTAGTCTATAGTCTAGTCTAGTCTATAGTCTAGTCTATAGTCTAGTCTATAGTCTAGTCTATAGTCTAGTCTATAGTCTAGTCTATAGTCTAGTCTATAGTCTAGTCTATAGTCTAGTCTATAGTCTAGTCTATAGTCTAGTCTATAGTCTAGTCTATAGTCTAGTCTATAGTCTAGTCTATAGTCTAGTCTATAGTCTAGTCTATAGTCTAGTCTATAGTCTAGTCTATAGTCTAGTCTATAGTCTAGTCTATAGTCTAGTCTATAGTCTAGTCTATAGTCTAGTCTATAGTCTAGTCTATAGTCTAGTCTATAGTCTAGTCTATAGTCTAGTCTATAGTCTAGTCTATAGTCTAGTCTATAGTCTAGTCTATAGTCTAGTCTATAGTCTAGTCTATAGTCTAGTCTATAGTCTAGTCTATAGTCTAGTCTATAGTCTAGTCTATAGTCTAGTCTATAGTCTAGTCTATAGTCTAGTCTATAGTCTAGTCTATAGTCTAGTATATAGTCTAGTCTATAGTCTAGTCTATAGTCTAGTCTATAGTCTAGTCTATAGTCTAGTCTATAGTCTAGTCTATAGTCTAGTCTATAGTCTAGTCTATAGTCTAGTCTATAGTCTAGTCTATAGTCTAGTCTATAGTCTAGTCTATAGTCTAGTCTATAGTCTAGTCTATAGTCTAGTCTATAGTCTAGTCTATAGTCTAGTCTATAGTCTAGTCTATAGTCTAGTCTATAGTCTAGTCTATAGTCTAGTCTATAGTCTAGTCTATAGTCTAGTCTATAGTCTAGTCTATAGTCTAGTCTATAGTCTAGTCTATAGTCTAGTCTATAGTCTAGTCTATAGTCTAGTCTATAGTCTAGTCTATAGTCTAGTCTATAGTCTAGTCTATAGTCTAGTCTATAGTCTAGTCTATAGTCTAGTCTATAGTCTAGTCTATAGTCTAGTCTATAGTCTAGTCTATAGTCTAGTTATAGTTAGTCTATAGTCTAGTCTATAGTCTAGTCTATAGTCTAGTCTATAGTCTAGTCTATAGTCTAGTCTATAGTCTAGTCTATAGTCTAGTCTATAGTCTAGTCTATAGTCTACTGTATAGTATAGTCTATAGTCTAGTCTATAGTCTAGTCTATAGTCTACTGTATAGTATAGTCTATAGTCTAGTCTATAGTCTAGTGTATAGTCTACTGTATAGTCTACTGTATAGTCTAGTCTATAGTCTAGTCTATAGTCTAGTCTATAGTCTAGTCTAGTAGTCTAGTCTAGTCTATAGTCTAGTCTATAGTCTAGTCTATAGTCTAGTCTATAGTCTAGTCTATAGTCTAGTCTATAGTCTAGTCTATAGTCTAGTCTATAGTCTAGTCTATAGTCTAGTCTATAGTCTCGTCTATAGTCTAGTCTATAGTCTAGTCCTATAGTCTAGTCTATAGTCTAGTCTATAGTCTAGTCTATAGTCTAGTCTATAGTCTAGTCTATAGTCTAGTCTAGTAGTCTAGTCTATAGTCTAGTCTATAGTCTAGTCTATAGTCTAGTGTTTAGTCTAGTATATAGTCTAGTTTATAGTGAAGTCTATAGTTTAGCCTATAGTTATGTCTAAAGTCTAATATATAAATTTGTATATAGACCAGTCTGTAGATTAGTCCATAGTCAAGTATATCTATTCTATATTTAAATTTAAAAAACACACTAACCCTCAAACAAAATTTTCCATTGAGTCTTAAGAAATCTCTAAACAAAATACTATTTCAGCAATTTCCTGTACGTTTAACTGCATTAATAACACACAAAAAAAAGTGGAATTAAAAACACAACATGAATCATTTTCAAAGAACTCTCTGACAATTTACATAAAAATACTACAAAATTTGAACACATGAATTGTGTGTCTGGAGTATGTTCATATGTATTTTTATACCTGCTGATAACGAGATGAAGTAATAAAGGTAAAACAAAGAAGAAAAACTAAAGTATTATTTTTTCGGTACAAACAAGAAATGATTGGTTATAAGCAGAAACCAAGAAACAAGACCAGAAAGACACACTGATTTAAACCACGTTTACATATAAAAACGTATTCGAACAGACAGACGAACAAGCTAAAGAAATCAAAATGATGGCTTAAGGGAAAATTAAGCAGTGAACATTATAGTTAGAGATTGAAACTGATTGTGATGTTTGTGAGGGTTTTCGTAGGCTAAGGTCTTTTAGAGTAATAGAGGTATGCAACGCAAAATAAGATGATTAAAGAGAAAATTACTTGTAGTACAAATTTAACAGGAAAAACACAAATAAGGGCAGTGTATATGGAGTTGGCTAAACTAGTAAGGAAATCTATTTTACTTGTTTGATCTTTATGTAAAATGTTTTTAAGATGGGGGAATCATTGATAAATTTTACAAACAAAATTATGGCCACAGTTATGGTAGTCTGTATGTACTAGAGCTAAAACTATTAGCTGTTATTGTTTTGTACATATTGAGAATTTTAAGGAAAGTATAAGGAATCTCTGCTTAAAACTACCTACACATAAACATAAGAAAAAATGAAATATTAATGAAATTATTGAATATTTAAATAAATGTCTTACTCTGTTGCATATTTAAATCTAACGGTTACTTAAACTGCCTCCCTTAGTGACCATCATTTATCGGGAACTTATTTAAAATTATGTACATCATTTATCTGGCCATGTTTTTCATCAGCCGGATAGTTTTCCATTGATTGTATGGAGCGTGAGGTGGCTGCTGTAATGGTGGAAGAAACATCCATAAAACGATATTTCTTTTCATCTCGACACAGGAACGGATAGCACATGATGCCATAATAAAAGGCCAAACAGCTAACAATCACTACAAATATAATGGCTATAATGCCAAAGGTGGAGAAGCCCGATTTTTTGTCTAAATATTCTTTGGGTGTAATGGCGGGTGCTTGAGTGGGTTGTACTGGTTGCTGTTGGGAGCCATAGTAAGTACGCTTTGAGCTGTAACCACTAGAACGGCCCCGCACACTGCCCGCCTGACAATAACTTATGCTCAAGGTAACTGCCAAAGAAAAAAACAAAATCATAAAATTATTAAACACACAAAGTCACGTATTATCCATAGATTGTGTTAAATTCCTAAATATACAAATAAAACTTAAACTCACCTATTAATAATGTTATCATTAATTTTTTCCACATTTTTTTGTATTTTTTATTACAATTTAAATTCGTTCCAAATGTCAACGAAAAGAAAAATCGCAGTTTTAATTATAATTAATCTTAACAATGCACTTGATTTCTTTTTTCAGTTCTCTAAAATATTTTTTATTGTTGTATGTTGTTTTTGCCTTTTGCTTCCTCCCGTTTCTTATGTGTTTCTTGGTCTACTTCTATTTCTTTTATGTTGAACTTGCAACAATGCATTTATCACACAAAAAGGAATTGTTGGAATAGTAAAAGAAACAAAGAAGAGAACAAAAAACATGGCGCAGATCAAAAGACAGAGTTGTGTTTTAATGTAAAAAATAAACGGAGTTGTATAATTTTGGTATTTAATATAATTTTTCTGGGCTGAGCATCATGTTTGATGATGAGATATCATGTCCTAAAGTTTAAAAAGGCGCCATTTTTGGCCATATTTGAGATGAAATAACAGCTTTAATATACTTCGTTTATAAATTTAGTTATCTGAAAGATTAATTTAGATTTTTTTTAATTAATTTAATTCAGATTAATTTAATTCAGAATACACATTTAAACTCTGTTATATTTTCATTCTTTTTGGAGATATATTCAGCTAAAGCTTGAAACATTTAGAAAAAAATGATTTTTTCCTACATTTTGCCTTCATTTTAAGACAAACTTATTATATGTCACAAGTATTCGTGTGAAATGTCCTAAAAATCTTTTGTATTTACTGAGATATCGTTTGTTGAAGTTTTTATTGTAAAATAAAGCCTATATTTTTACTTTTCAGCATCTTTAGAAGGGTGTATGTATATAAGTTTGTCATTCCGTTTGTTATGCCCACAATATAAGTTCCGGACACTTATAGATAGCAGTGTCAATTTAGCCTTGTCGTCTGTTCGTATGTTTGTTGAAATCAGTTTTCAGGAAATCCCATTTCTGCTGTATCCTAATCTTAAACAATTTTATCAGACATGATTTTGAGATTCGATATTTAAAATCAGGAGAATCGCTCCGTAAATAACAGAGATATGAGTAGAATTCCAAAACAATTGAAGCTATTTTTTTAGAGTCGGTTCAAAATTGTATATAGTTCTCATACAAATTTACATGCCTCCGGAAAATGGATTTCTTGTTAAAAACTTCCGCTAGAATATGGGTATTACGGCAAAATATTATACTATAAATCTAATATTAATAGAAATTGTATGTAAACAAATCATCCTATGCAATTTTTACGGATCGTACCATATCGCTCCCATATGAAGTCAATTTCCGAAAATCACTTAATCCTAAACGACCCATGAATTAATAATTATATCGAAACACAATATGTAAACGATATTTCACTATACAAAAAAATATATTATTTTCACTTAAAATGTATAAATACAACTCTGTACCATCAAATGCAACCCTATAGCAAATTTACGGAAAAGGAATATCGAGAGGTGAACTTAAGTCAACCACCTCAATTATATTCACCACCAATCAAAGAACGAAAAGTAAAAGCAAAAGATAATACAAGAAAAACGAGCGTCAAACCGAAACGAAACGACGATAGGAAAAATTTTTACCTACTACACATTTTTAATTAAAATTAAATAAAACTACAGTAAATTAAAAGAAAAAACTTATGAAAAACTGCTAATACCTAAAGATTGCATAAGATTTTCAGAAAACCAATAAATTAGCTTAATTGTTATTAGAATTACAGCTAAAAAACGGTGAAAAAACTTCACAGTGACAAAGACCAAGCCAAAGGCAAGAAAAAAATTATACCTAAATGTGTGCGTTTAAAAAGAAACCATTTTTTAAATAGCGAAGAAAAAATAATTAAAGTGTTACGTTCGTTGTTGAAAATAAAAACTGCTACGTTTCATTGAAAAAAACTATAGATAAAATTACGAAATTAAAAAACGTTTAACAAAAAAATTTTTTTGGTAAAAAACATAGTAAAAAAGACTAGGCATTAAAAAAAAAACAAAGAGCAAGCAAAAAGAAGTGATGAATTTAAAGAGAATAGCAAATCAAATAAAAATATACATTACTTAAAAAAACAGTGTAATTGTTGGAAACTAAATATATAAACTACAAATGTATGTACATGCCAACAAAGTGCAAATAAATGTAACCAACCATTTTCTATAAAAATAACCAGAAATATTACAAAGAATACAAATTCAATTTATTTCTTTCCTTTGCTTGGCTCGTAAGTGAGCGAGTGTATATGCGAATCATACGAATGTATTAAATTTAAACAACGGAACGGCAGCAACAACAACAGTAGCAGCAGCAAAGGCTGAAAAAAAAACAACAATTGTGTGGGGACTTTCTTTTTGTTTGTTTGGATGTTTTTGTATACGAATGTTGTATTGTTGTTGTTTTTCATTTTACGAAATCAATGTAGGAGAAGTGTAAAGTGAGGCCCCCATAAGAAAATGTCACATTTGCCTTTGGATGCACGCGCCATTTTGCATTATTTAAATGAATTGGGCTACAGAAATATATCTGCCACACAACTCAAAGAATTTTTAAAAGGTAAGCTAACAAATTCTTACACGATTTATTGATAATGAAAAAATCATTATATTTAGTGTTTAATTAGCGTTATATACAAAGTAAGAGAGTGAGTGAGTTGCTTCATATTGCATGAGAGGGAGTGAAAGAGAGAGAGAGTGTGTGTTGTGTTGATTGTAAACAAAAACTGTTTTTGTTTTTTCATTATTTTGTTTATTTCATTCTTTTCATTTATAACCTCAATCATTTTTTTGCACATAAACTAAATATAATCGTACTTTAATTAAAAAACACATTTAAACAGCATAGGTATAAATGTTTTTTTATAGAAACTTTTCCACAAAATATAAAAAAGCTGAATGTCTATAAAAATCTTGTGTATAGTAGTGTGATGAACAAAAAAACTTAAAAAAGAAATAAGCACTTTGTTAATATCCAACCAACTGTCTGTCTGTATATTGTGTTGGAATAAATAAGCAAATGTTTTCAGCTATTACTGCTGCTGCAAGTATATTGTAGTAAGGTTGAGCTAATGTTTGTCGTTTTTTTCGATATTTTTTCCATTTTTTTAATATCTGTATATAAAGCCGGCTGGCTGATGAGTATGTAGTTTATGTGTGTATAGTCAAGGTATATGTACAAGCACAGAAACAGATATTAAACTACTAAAACAGCAACAATAATAACAACATGAGCACACAAGCAATTTTGTTTTCAGATCTGTCTGTCGGTTTGTACATACGTCTGTCCGTCCGTCCGACCCTCTATACTACATACAATTGTACCTCTAACTAAGCAACGAAACCAGCAAACCGCCAGCCAACCAACCAACCGTCCTCAAAATAAGTAAAGCAACTACATATGTACATAAATATTTTTTTATTTTTTGCTTCGTTTTTATTTTGTTTTTTTTTTTCATTGTGTACTTCCACAACCTTACAAAAATAAAACTGAAAAATGTATGAAACACACATCGTTACTTCGCTAGAGATTGTGGAGTTTTTTTTTTTTTTTTTCATTTGTATTCTGTGTTTTTTAGTTCTTACTGCTCGTTGTGGCGACGTCAACAAATTTCATTTTTTTCTTTTTTTGTAAATTTTTTCTCGGTTTTATTTAAAATAACACAAAGCTTAGTAGCAGCCAAACCGTATACGTGTATTCTCAGGTTCTTTCCATTTCTACATATTATTGCTATATTCTGTGTTATTTTACTTTGTTTTTCTATACCATTTTCTTCTTTCCTTTTATTTTACTTGTTATTTTGTTTGGCAAATTCTCGTTTTTGCCATCGATTTATTTTATTATTTTACTTTGACAGTGGTGTATTCTAATTTGTTAATTATTTAGTTTTCATTATTTTTTTATTTCTTTGTACTTTCTTTTTTTCCGGTTTTATTTACTTTAATTCCTTTTTGTTGGTGTTTCATTTGTTAGTGCGCCAGTTTATTAAGTTTAAACAGTGTTGCTAATAGTTTCGTTTATAATTAGGTTAATGCAACTCTGCCTGTGGTGAGTTAATAATGTTGCTTATCAAGCGTGTTCTTTTTTTTTAACAGCAAATAATTGTAGCACAGTGGGGACATTTCTTATAAATCGAAAGAAATTTATAATTTTAGGGCGGCTATGATTTCCTTTAAGTTTGACTTTTGTAGAGAGGAAATTTTAACCATTTAGAAATTATCTTACATTTTACTTTCACACAGAATTATATTCAATCCTGTTATTTATTTTAAATTAAAAATAAACGTAAATGCGAATATTTGATGACTAAGAAACTTTTGCTATGACAAAAAATAAAGATTTCTATTCACATTTTTGCGCTGCCTTTAAAGGATGGAACAAAATACAAGAAATGCAAACAAACAAATATATTTTATAGCAGCTTCAGAATGAACGCACATACGGAGCTGGAAAATGCAGTACTATTGTACTTTTTTCAATACACTACACAATAGACTTGTTAACATATTAGTTTTTATACTAGTCAATAAATAACTCATTAAACTACTCAATAGACTAGATCATAAATCAGTCAATAGATTAGTTCATACATTAGTATATATATGCTATAATATAATAAAAAAATAAGTTTTTGATAGGATAAAAAGCCCATGATTATATTTAATACTAAAAATATTTCAAGATTTTAATTTTCTCTGTCTGACTGGTATATTTTTTGTTATTTTACTTTTTTTCGTACAAATTCGAACATCTACAAGACTGATGTACATATGTATGAATGTAGTAGGTATAAAAAATAAACAGGCAAGAATGATAAACGAAATGACTGTCTGACTGCTTGCTTGCCTACAACCAAATACGACAGACAAACCGTTCATTTGTATGATGGAAGTATGAATAACTACAACATTTATACTAGACGTTAAAAATACCACCACAAACTTCTTCATTTTCAATATTCTGTATCATACTCTTATTTTTTTGTACATATTCTTGTTTATTTTCAGTATTTTCTCAAATACAGTGGAGGAATTTCGAAAAATTTAAAGTAATTTCTAAATATTTAGTCCGATTTAAACAAATGATTTTATATCTTATGAAAAGTCGACTTTTTAACCGTCCTACTTACAGACATTTTTACACAATTTAGTTAAGTTGACTAAAGAAATAACTGAAATAGAACTAAATTTGAACTAGAAGTATGTAAACTAAAACTGAAATGAAACTAAACTAGGACTGAATACGTTGAAACGTAAAAAAGACACAAACGAAAATTATCATCA